AAGGAAAGAATAGAGTGGAAGGAGAAGGTGGAAGAAGAGGTTAAAAGAATAGACCATTAGTGCTTCTAGGAAATTAGAGTGTACAGAACTGTTTCTGAAACTTCACTTGGTGGATCCTTCACTTGATTGATATAACCTTGCTGCATAGTAAGGATATAAGAACGATGTTAATAGTTTATTTCACATATGCTCAATATTTCTACTAGCAGTGTAGCATAACAATTTCACTGTCAATGAAATTGCTACGGCAGTTGATACAGCTTTCCAATTCTGCCTGTCACACTGGTAAAGGCAGTAATTTGAATCCTAAAATAATGTTCCTAATCACTTGACAAAAGTGACACTTGCCTTAATTATAGGAAGATATATAGGTGAGCAAACTCCATTTACACTCAGAATGGGAAGTCAAATTAAAAGGCAGACAGGTGGAATTAACAGAAAATTAAACTTGACGTCTGCTGTATATGAAATCCTTGACAATCCTTCTTCCCCTTCCCTGTCACCAAATGTGAAACAACGAGGAGGCATGAGGTTTGCCCTTCCGGCCTCAGGTAGATCAGCTTCTTTTAAAGGGTCTGGATATCTGCTACTTCAAAGCTAGTGTAACCATCAGCTCTTCAGCAGCCTAGCTGGCTAGCCGTTCATCTTGCGGTTAGCTTCAGCAAGTCCAGACAGAGTTTCTGTAAATCTCTTAACTATCTAAAATATATATATATTTATATGTATATATATATTCATAGATAAAACTTCGCTTGCAGGATTTGGTTGATTTTAAGTAAGGAATTTTGAATTCAAGCACCCTAACTAGTTCTGTAGTGTACACTTGGTTGGTATGAACTTAGTAGAAGGTACTACAGAACTAGTTTGAATGCTTAAATTAGTGAAATGTCAGGACTTTCTTTGCCTCTACTAGCTGATTTTAGCATTGGCTGCCTCTAATAGCTGCTTTTAGCATTGGCATGTTTTAAAAGAAGATTTAAATAGTGTCTTCAATTTTGTCTGCAAGTCCTGTTGCTAGAGTCCTTTTAAAAATTGTTAAGGGACATTTTATTTACAGACAGCTGAAATGGGACCATTCTGATGACTAGATCCTTTTGCATCCCTAAGATTATATACCACTTATCTGAAGCAGGCGAGAATTGGCCCAGTATCTGTTGCACTTAGTATAGTGTACCAAGTTGTGCGAGTTTTAAGAAATCCTATTAAAATACCAAGTGAGATTTGAATCTCTGTAGCCATACGATCAATTGCAAAAATAGGGCATAGGGCAAAAGGTCACTGTTTTATCTAAGTTAGAACTTTCTTTGGTAATTCTGCTGAGTGTGAATCCAACTCTGAGTGTGAATCCTGCTGTCCAGTTTAATGAAGTTTTGTTAAGTCAGGTAGAATGCTTATCTTGCATTTAGAACCTCAGGTTTTTTGAATAGTACCAAAATGTTACCAAAAGCACCCTAATATTTGGAAATATGATCTTTTGATTTAAATAAATAAATGTAGTCTTCTGTATTCTCTCTTCCTTTTAATACTCCGTCAAATTTTTAAAACAAGTGTATTTCTGGGGGCATACATTAGAGGAATTGTATTAATGTGTTATAAATTTTGTTTACATGTTGTAAGATAAATTTCCAATGGAAGTTTATGCCTTTTTTCTTGTTGTAGTCACCAATTTTTTTAGGTTAGCAGCCCATCACTTGCTGTCCTCCTCACCCTGAAAGTACAATTTATCTGCATTTACTTACTATTACGTATCAACAAAATTGTCTACTCACTACACCCAAGAATTTTTGCTTATCATAGCTCTGTTCTTCAGCATTTTAACTGTGTGGGTTGTGTATAATTTTATATGCTGCCATAGTTTGTTATTCTGCCAGACATAAACTGGAAGATATTTGCGCTATTCTGACAGTGTATTTTTAAATTACTTTATTTGTGCCGGGAGAAGCTGGAAAGAAGCATAGCAGTTACTTTTAAAGAACTTCTGAACTACTTCTCTACTGTCACTGGACACTTCACCGGTGATGTGGTAGAGGAGGCTGAAATATGATGATGACTGAAATAGAGGGGGCACTTCAGATAGGAGTTTTCAGATGATTTGAATACAGTCTCAAGTTTTAATTCCTCAAAGTTGGTGCAAAATTTGCACATTTGCAAGCTGGACCTAAATTTTACTGTGCGTGTATGAAGCAGGCTGGTTTTGTACAGTTGTAGAAATAGATTTTTCTTCTGTGTCCAGTTCCTCTGGCAGATTTCCGCCGAACACAACCTTTTTCAACAGTTCCTAGTTCACATGGACTTCAAGACTTGGTGCTGTAAGGAGGGAGGTGCTTCGTGCTGTTCAGTGTGTGACTTCAGGTGGTAGAACAGAATATCTTGCTTGAGATAACATCTAATCGGGTAGAGAATAGAAATACGGTGTTTAGGGCTACCTGTTCATGGAGAGTTCCAGCTTCCCAGCTACAGGGAGGACTGAATAGATTAGGAAAGAAACTATGGGAAAGAAAATATAATTTCACCTCCCATCCATACCTTAAACTTGGAGTAATTGAGTTCTTCCTACATTAGAGTTATTACCATTTATGTCCATGAAACAGCTCAGCTTAGAGCTATGGGTTTGATTTGGGGCAGCCTCATGTCTTGCCTTCAGAAAAGAACTGAGGCTGCTTTGTGGAGGAGCTTTATATTATATTACTCGTTATTACTTATGTTAACCAAAAATCCTAGATCTTTTTGTCAGAAGTTCATTTTCTGGATCTAATACCCAAAGTGAAAATGTGAAATCTATATAGCCCTTCAAAGAAGTAAGAATTTTAGCTAAGTTTCTATCCTCCCTCATTTTAAAAGGAAAAAATGGGCTCCCTGCAAGTTTGATGTTCATTCTTGCTTTCTAAATGTTAAACTGCAAGACAAGTATATTTAAATACTTCCTTAGTGTTACTTGTTGACGTAGCAGTTGTCTGGGTTTCCATCAGGATGTCACTTAATCGGTGGTAGGAAAGGCGTAAATTAGACAACAAAAAAAGAAAAGTTGAGAACGTTAGAGCTGGTGGCCTATAAATACTTGTCAGCATCAGTTTCACGCTTTTGGGACTTGGCTGAAGCAAGTTTTCCACACTGCACTGATTGAATTAAATTTATATAATCTTTGTTGACTGCATTGCAGCATTGTGAAAGTCCAGAACTACTCCAGCTTGGTTCAAGTCCAGTCTTCACTGCTTTGCTTTTTAGAGTACCCTGAATGTACATATTATTTGCACTGTAACCTATATAAGCCCAGTAGCCTGAATTTCATTGCTTTGGTCATATTTTTGATGAATCTGCTAGAGTAGGTGAGGATTCGTCTACTGAATTATGTAAGGCATCAGCCTAGAAATAATTTATTCCTTAGACATGACAAATGGTTAATAATGTAAAATTATTTGTTTGATAATTTGTTCTGTTCTTCCATATCAGTAAGAATGGGCTCCTTTCCCTGTGTTATTGTACAATTCAAAATACTGCTCTTTTTGTAGTGAAATTTTTTGAAGGATGGAGAAGGGAATGGCTATTAATATGTAAAGGAGGTTCTGGAAGTGTCTCTGAAGGTTGTTAGTATTGTTAGAATAAAGTTGCAAATGTAGTCAAAGGCAGAGAAATGTTTTTACCATTTATTTGCTGATAAATATGACAAAGTTGATCATTTTAAGTGTGTACAAACAAAAACCTGTGAGAGTAAGTGTGGGAACTTATTTGTTACGGGAATTAAGTGTCTGCCATAAACATCTGCATAGGCATATTTATAAGCTAATTGCAAATGTTAAGGCCTGGTTTGTACAAAGGAAACATGGATTCCATCTAACTGAATGGCATAAATGGAGTAGCATTTTATTTTATGATTGTGGCTAAATCTGAAGTTGGATGTGGGTTTCAGGCTTTGAAGGAACCGATTTTGTATATATTCCTCATATCATGGCTTGAAACAGAGGTGAAAAGTACAGCTGCAGGCCTAAAAGTATTTGGTAAGACTACGAAAGTTACTATTTTAAGATATTGGGCTAGATGATCTCTAGAGATCCTTTCCAAGATCAACCATTCTGTGATTCTGTGATTTTAATCTTATTTTCAATCTCAAAAAAAAACAAACCAAAAACCACAGGTACTCTGTCAGTTGTCTACAGCTGCACAAAGTTTTTGAACAGCCTTTTTCTCCCTGCCAAATATCAGTCCTGTCTGTTTCCTTTAAAAATGATAATTCC